ACCTCTCCCGGCCTGGTCCGCTCCCGCCGCCTGCTCACGGCCGTGACCGCCTGTCTCCCTCCTTCCCCCACCCCCCGGCCCCTCTCCGTGTTTCCCCACAGCCTTCCGGACCGCCTTCCGGGCGCGGGGTGCGCTGGCAGTGCTGCAGCACTTCGACCCCCTCTACAGCTTGCTCCAGTGAGTACGGAAGCGATGAGCGTGGGGCCGGGGCTCCGGGGACAGCGGGAGTGGAGCGGGTGGAGGAGGGTTGCGGAGAGGGTGGTGCACTCTGTGCTCACACCTCTTCCTCGTGGTGTTTGCTGGCTGCTCTCATGCACTGTGCTTGCCCTGCAGTCACTTCCGAGCTGTGGGGACTGCTGTCAAGGAGGATGCCCTGGAGCTGATGATGCACGGTGGGTATCAGCTGTTCCCAGCTGAAGCAGGAGTAATAGAGAGGTTGCTCTCCTTCGGCAGCTCAGTGATGATATAAAGGCTAATGTGACTCAACCAGCTGGGTTGCACCCTCAGCCTATTCCAGTAATACGGGTCTGTAATCTTGGTGGACGATGCAGAGCTGTGCGTGTTCACTGTAAGGGCAGGCCGACAGAAAATCCCCTTCCCTACATCCCTGGAAAATGCATCTTTGGGATGCATCAGCTCTGAGCAAGTGTTTCTATGAGCTGACAGGGGAGCTGTGGGGATAGGATGGTACAGCGCCTCCAAGGTTTGGGTTGCAGGGGGTAGCCCGCATTAGAGCTGGTGAGATGTGAGCACATGTCTTTGGTAATCTGATGACTGCTCTAAGTCTCGAAAAGAGTGGATGGCTGAAGGGCCTGGCAAGGAGCGCTCATGATTTTCTGTCTCTCTTCAGTGGTGTCCCATCATTCCAGTGAACTTCCCACCATCTTGGGTGATTCTGGGCTGAGCCATGCAGACCGCGCTGCTCACCTCAACGCTCTCAAGATGAACTGCTATTTGCTGACTGGCCTGGTGGACGCCTTTGAAATTGAAACCTGCAAGAGTAGCTTGTTGGAGGTGGATCCTGGTGGGAAGGTAGGTGAGGGGACTGGGAGGAAAACAACATGATAAAAT